GTGCATACAGTGAAGGCTGCATCTGTCTTATGAGACAGAGACAATAAGATGTTGAACTACTCTGGATTTCACTATAATCTCAAAATCTAGTTGTTATACGATATATAAGAAAGGTTCAAGTTATCTTGTGGCTCCAAAGTTTTTTGTCAAATTACCCTTTAGAATAAACAACGTCTACTTGTGTCCTTATCAAGAAAAACATAAGAAAAATACATGTATATTTAGAGCTATAACTTTTAGCTTGCTTTTCTGTCTAATGAATCATGTTTGTCTGAATACTCCCTGCCTCTTCTGAAATGCATTCTTTATTTTATATGGCTTATAAGCCTGAAAAGGACATGATGAACTCGCCTGAGTAGTATTTCTGTTTTTGAAACAGAACAATCTCTTTTTTCTGGTTTCCAATCATTTTAATACGGGGGTCCCGAGCCTCAGGTTGTGAATAACTTCACTTAAAGGTCCCCTATTATACTGTTTTTCATCAATATATTATAGGTCTCCGGTATATACAAAACATGTCTCTGAAGTGTTTGGCTCCAAATACCAAACAGATCATCCATTGCAGCATCCCATAATCCCCTCTGTTTCAGCCCTGTTTCAAAAGTGCTGATTCTCTGTCTGTTACTTTAGATGAAAATAAGGAGCCACTCCCCACGCCCCTCTGAGAGATATTTGGTTAAAAAGAACACAATAGTGCTCTAGGAGGAGATTCAGGTGATAAGGTGGGGGGGGTTACCTTGGTTGGTGATTGGCTAATGGTTACACAAGCCAAAAAATCGTTATGACATCACAAAGTGGCCAAAATCTGATCAGCTCATTTTCAGACAGGTTTTTATATAAATGGATCAGGACAAAAAGTGAGCAAATCTTTTTTCCTGAAACGTTCAGAATGTCTTTACACAGAGGGGACACATGTTTATGTATAAAAGACATGAAAAAGTGGATTTTGCATAATAGGTTACGTTTAACAAAAAATAAGATGCCAGTAACAAGTGAATGGGATTTTGGGGAGCTCACAACATAGAAACATTACATTTTGAACACTCAACAGCATCATCTTTTCACAGGAATATTCTGTATACTTGGATAATGTTTCTTGGAAACACAGTGTCAATAAAGATACATTTAATGTTGCATTGCTCTGACCAACAAAAACTACATTTTGATCAATTTAATGTTATTGGGTAAAAGGCACTCTGATGGTGTTTAAGACACTCACCATGTAATTTCGTGTCCCCAGTCAAACTTTTGTTGAATGTAATTTCCTCTCTCTCCATCTTCATTTCCTGTCAGCTTTGTATTACATAAAGTTCTAACTAATAGAGACCTACACATTAACCCCATTAAACCTCTACTGGTGTGGAAGGCATTTTAGGGTCAGATATCTCAAAAGCTGGACTATTAAACAAAACTATTTGCATGGCAAGTTACCCCTAACTGGGAAGTGGGAAGATTTTGTGTGCTTTGTGCTAAATATTTTGCAACATACTTGTAAGAAGCAACTCCCGACGTCACTGTGCTCGGGTATGGACACGTTGTACAGCTGCTGCAGGAACACAGGCTCGTTGTCGTTGACGTCCTCCACCAGCACAGTGACTGTAGCTGTGGATGACAGAGCCGGGTCTCCTCCATCAGTCGCCACCACCAGGAACCAAACCTCCATCTGTGTCTCTCTGTCCAGAGCTGCAGCTGTTGTGACCAGGCCCGAGTCTGGGTGGATGCTGAACAGGCTGTCCTGGTTGGACTTAAGGATGGAGTATCTAACATCTGAGTTGACCCCCTCATCTGCGTCTTGTGCTCGCATCTGGATGAGGGAACTCCCCTGTGGTGCGTCCTCAGAAATATCAATCATGTAAACATCTTTCTCAAAAACTGGGGGGCAATCATTGGTGTCGATGACCCGCAGGAGGAGGAGAATCTCACTGCTCAGAGGTGGGCTCCCAAAATCTGATGCTACCACTTTCAACTCATACAGATCCTTTTGCTCCCTGTCGAGCTCCGAGTTGACACACAAAGCATACAGGAAGTCATCAGTCTGCTTCAGGGTGAACTTCCCATCATCCTCCTCGAGCGTGACGGTGACCCTCTCCTCCTTAAAGTCGGAGTCTGATACCGAAATCCTGGCAATGTAGTCTCCAATCGCTGCTGCCTCTGAAACCAATGCATCTCCTGTCTCGCTGAGGAACAGCACGCTGATGGTGGGACTGTTATCGTTGACATTAAGCACCTTCACACCCACAAAAGTGCTGCTGTGCTCAGGCTGAGCCCCGTTATCTCGCGCGCTGATGATCAACTCATGGAAAGCCTTAGTCTCATAATCAAGCGGCTTGTTGAGATACACCACCCCGGTGATTTGGTTGATAGAGAAAACCTCATTTGGGTCACTCTGCCGCCTGTTGATCTCATAAATGATTACGCCGTTGTTGCCCATGTCGAGGTCAGTGGCGTGGACCTGACACACAGAGGACCTCAGCGGGGCATCCTCTGGCAGAGAGGCGTGGTATTCAGTCTGGTTGAACACGGGAGGGTTGTCGTTCTCATCCAGGACGTGGATGTTCACATGAAGATTCCCCGTCCTGGTTGGGATGCCACCATCAAAGGCCTCGATGGTGAGGGAGTATAGCTCCTGAGTTTCCCTGTCTAGTTTGCTGGTGAGGATGAGATCCAGGCTCGGGTGGCTCTCAGATCCACTGCGATACTCCAGGTGGAATAACTCCCCCATCTCAGTCTCTGTGATCCTGTATCCCTGGATACCAAACTCACCCTCATCCCCATCTTTAGCTACTTCAAGCTGAAATTGACTCCCAGGGGGGCTCAGTTCTGATATTTCTAAGTTTACCTCCTCTGAGGGAAACACAGGGGAATGGTCGTTCACATCTGTAACCTCTAGTATCACTTTGATCATCTCCCCTGTCAGGGTGGCTGCCACAAACTCATACTTATCTCTGCTCTCTCTGTCCAGGATCACAGCTGTGGAGATGATCCCCGTGTCTGCGTCTATTTCCAAGTCTCTGAACACATAAGAGTCTCTGCTCTCTGAGATGAAGAATCCGGTGCTTGGCCTGCTTAACCCCGCTCCCAGATCTCCAACGATGGTTTTAGCAGGCAAGCCCTCTTTAACAGAGAGCGTCAGGTTGAACACCTGCCCGAGCGACCGCGCGCAAAGCAGCGACAGCACGAGGGTCCAGAGTAGCGACGGTGAGGCTTTTTTGCAACCCATTGCTCCTTTCCACATGGTTTTGAACTTTAAGCAACGTTACATATTTCAGTGTCCAAGTCAAACTCTTCCATCACATTTCAGAGCACCTCTCCAAAAATAAATCAGGTAAACGCACCTTGCATTTTTGAGCACAGGAAAACAGCCAGCAGTCATTCTCCATCACAATATTCGAGCAGCTTTTTTGCTTGAATTTGAAGAAGAGATATCCACACATCTAGGAGCGCAAATCCCCCAGGGCTTCTCACACATCATGGCACCGAGTGGCCACAGAGTATCCACTGTGCGCACTGAACACACCTCCTGCCCACGTCTCGCGCTGATCGCCTCCATCTGTGCGCGGATTGCTTAAGATTTAATTAGACCGGGAGATTAGTGCCGCGTGCTGAAAGGTACCATAGTCAATAGTTGACCAGTCGAAGATCAAGGTGTGCAAAGTAGGGGAAACAACTCATGGAGAGAACTGTTGTCAGAAAGTTAATACAATCTGTGATTCGGCCCGCATGCTTTTGGAGAAGTGTTTAGAATAAATCAAATATAAATTGAGTTCGACGAGGTTCATTTTTTGGCTGATGTCCATTTAGCTTTAGGATGGCTCCCTCCAACGGCAGAAACAAGAACCGCAGGCAGAGCACTGAAATGTTTAACTGCAACACCCTTTAAAATACAGTCAAACAAACAACCCTGAGTTTGATAAAGTTATTTTGCCAATTATGGGCTCGAATAATTTAGTAACATGTTAAGCGTCTGAAATGATACTCATGAAAAAGTGTCTAGCTGTCTATGATCCTTTAAAATAATGTTTTGCATGTGTCCAAACATTTGTATCTTTAAAAAGAAATTGATGCCCTAAATACAAAATGTGCGAAAAGATTGAGAACAGTTTGCACAATATATTTGACAGGTTTGCATACAACATCGAATTAAGTCATTCAAAAATTATATAAAATAAATTGTCATAAATTATATACATTTATAATTATAATAAAGCCTTAATTAACCTTAAATGTGGAAAAGCTCTGTCCCTATAACAGTATCTGAGTCAAAATGTTTTCTAAAGTATTTCAAAATACCCTGAGAAAATACCCTTTGGAAAAAGACACATTGTATTCAATATTATTTCAAAAAAATAATACATTTTATGAGGCATTTAATGTTAATTATTTAGACACATAGCTCTATCAGCCCCTTGATAATGATGTTGCAGCTCCCATTGGTCCTGCAGGGCAGAGTATCCATCACACAGCCTCCCATGGTGCTTGCAAGCAAAGTTGCCAAGCAACAGATGTAACCTGAGCTGTATACCCGAGTAAACAAGCAGCATAGTTACTGAGGCTCCCTTTGTCTGGGTCAGTTTGTTCAGCAACTCCACAAACTCCAACACAGAAGCTTTCGATAGAAGTGTTTTCTCAGATTTTTAGGAAAAATGCCTTCTCATATCATGCTCTCCTACCAGTGGGATGACCAGGCTCTGGTGAAAAAGATTTATGACCGCCTCAAAGATGATGGTCTGCCAGTGTGGTTGGATATCGAAGGAGGGGTGACGGGAAATATAAACGACTCGTGAGTACAGAGAAATCTGAATTAATGGGATTAATTAAATGAATGAATTAGATCAATCAGAATACATTTTGTCTTGTGTGTGTGTGCTTTCAGGATGGCTGCAGGTGTGGAGGAGGCTGTGGTGATTTGTCCCTTCATGTCTCCAGCTTACCAGACGTCCCGCAGCTGTAAGAAAGAGCTCAACTACGCAGACAGCAGGGAGGTCAGCATCGTGCCCGTCATGCTGACCAACAACTGGGAGGCGAGCGAGTGGCTGGGGCTGATCACTGCAGGCCTGCTGTGGGTGGACTTCAGGTGAGGAGGCCTTTCAAACAGACAGGGAGACAATGTCAGACACTCAAATGATTAAAGGAAATGTATTTAGGAACATTCTTGGTCAAATAAAGTCTATTATAGAGATTGGATCGTACGATTCAACATGAACGTCTGAGCTCTTAGATATTTTAGTTACCTACATCTGTGTTGTCGTTCTAGAAATGCAGAGAAGGATGAGGAGCACTTTGAGATGTGTCTCAGCTCTCTGGAGGAGGAGATCATGTTTAACGTGGGACACCTCCTGGCAGTTGAAGAACCTCAGGGAGAGGTGGTGGATCAGCCTGAACCATCAAAACCCCGCCTGAAAAAGAAACCAGGGAGAGGGTTTCGCCATGCTCTCTCAAAGCTCTACATCCATGATTCAGGTATGGGTTTAAAAGAAAAATGGTTTCTTTGGAGTCAATGTTTCTGGAAAATCCTTCCAAAGTTGCCATCCTGTTTGAGACACTGAACACATGACAGAAGGAGTTCCAACAAGTGCATGACATGTCTAGGAATAACTGGGACATTGTTAACACGTTTTTAATGTTCTAACTGTTGGACAGGAAATGTATTACTTGTATTTGGGTTAGGGTTATCTGAATAGCAATCCGAGCCCTGCACATTTAAACCAAACTGTGTAAAATCCTACGAACACTTGTGTATTTTTGGCCATCTCTTTTGCTGCGACATGATTTCACAGGTGAGATAATCGAGCCGACTGTCAGCAGCAGGATCACAGTGGAGCTCAGTGAGAAAGCTGGAGAGCATTGTTACTGGCTGGAGATTAAAGGCAACGGCTGTAAATACTACAGGAACGTTGTCACCAACAGATACCTGGGTAAGTACACAAATCAAAACAAAACAAACAGCAATTATGTGAAAAATGCTCTTTTTAATAAAGGAAGAAATAAAACTTCACATTGCGAACTGAAAAAAAGGCTTGTTTCCAAGTCTGTACAACTGGAAAATTGAGTCAATACAATTTTATTTTTCCTCCAAACAATTATTCAACGCGTTTTGGTTTGTCGCTCTGCAGGATTCGACCCCAGCAGGAACCAGGCCCACTCTGAGGTCAGCCCCTCTGAGAGAGAAGAGTGGCTGATGTTGGTGGACCAGACGGACCAGAGCCATCAGAGAGCCGTCATCGTCAAGAACAAACAGTCTGGGATGTTCCTGGCAGTCCAAAATGGCCACTTTACCGGACTCACATTTTACAATGAAGACTGCAAATGGTTTTTAGAATAAAACAGGACAATGTGGGCACTTCTGTCCATGACACATAAGTTGTTAAGAAACACAAGTAGAGAGACAAACTTGATGGGTGTATCTACAACTGGAGGATTGGTAGAAATACAATTAAACATCACTGTGACAAAAGAAACAAATAAAAAATTATTAGAATCTCTTCCTCTTGAGGATTTCTGGTTTCCAGTTGATGGGATGGGTTTCCTCTGTCTGTAAGAAAGAAAAAAGAGCAGTCATATTTTCTATCTACTGCTTCAGAGCCAATTAAAATACACATTTTAAATATGATGGTATAACTTACAGCGGTGTCGTCTTCCTTGTATACTTTAATGGTCTTGTCAGCCTCGGCAGTGATCAGCCGGCTCTCCGAGTTATCGAACTTGCAAGCGAAGATGCCAGACTCGCTGTCCAGAGAGCCGGGCTGCACAGCGGCGTGAATCCTCTGGAAGTTATAGCCTGTCCTCCAATCCCACATGTGGATGGTTCCATTGTCGGCTACAAAGAACAAAAACATGCACATTTATCAGAATTCTGCGACAGAATCAACACAACTAAGAAATAATAATCTATTACATGAGTTAAACATTACTGCAGAAAAAACAAGTGATAGTTTAGCTTGAATTGAATACCTCCAGACACCAACACGCCATCGGAGTTGACAGCCATAGTGTTGATGATGGCGTTGTGGCCCGACAGGTTCTGGATGAAGCTTCCATCGGGGAACATCCACTGCTTGATGTTGTCAGCAGAACCAGAGGCAAAAGTATATCTGTAGGACACAGGAAGTAAGGTGACCATATGTTGAGGATATTGCAAACTCTTTTTCTTTTAAACTAGAATTGTTTTAGTTTGAGCAATTTAGATTTATTAAATGTAATGATACAAAACCCAGGCAACTAATCCTAAAAAGCGCAAACCAGCTAACGTTTATCAACAGTGATGCTTAACACTTAAACAGAATATGTTATTGGTAAGGTAACTTACTGCCTGGGGTGCATTGCCAGAGTTCGGACAGACTTCTTGTGGTTTGTCAGAGTCGCTCTGGTTTTTCCAGCGATCAAGTCCCACAGCCGGATGGTTGAATCGTGACTGCCTGCAAGATGATAATCAGTGGTTAGCGGAGGGCCAAACAATCAGGTACGACTTTGATAACTTGTTAGGTCATTTTGGGTTAAAAAAAAAATGTATTTACCAGTGATGATTTGTGGCTCTGCAGCCTGACATTTCACTGTGGCCACAGTGTTGGTGTGTCCGGTCAGGGTGTGCACATTGGCTTTACTCCTGATGTCCCAAACCTGCATGGACAGGGAATAAATCAAATCTCTTTAATGTACGTATTACTTACACAGTGAGAGGAAGGGTGCACGCCAGTTAAAAGTACATCAACACCAAGTGAAAGTACAGAAGGGGTATTGTGTTCCCCATTTAACTATTGTCCTATTGTTTGAAATGTGCTGTATAGGCATAAGGTGACAGATGCAGATATCTGATAGCTAGAAGTTGTTCATGCTTGAAAGCACAACATATAAAGAGCTGAACACAAATCACAGAGGGTTAATCAACACATGAAACAGAACATAAAGGATGCTTAGCATAAACATTGAGAAACTGGAATTCAGTTCACACCCAAATCCACGTGCCTTTTCTATACTTACGGTTTATAACACAGTAACAGGGCAGAGGGAATATAAATGAATTAAAATATGTGACTAGTGAAAAGTTAGAAATCATGAACCGGTGGCAACTGAGCTGTAAACTTGTTCAGCTGAGTTCAGGAGAGCCTATGAATGATATGTGTATTTTTAAAGTTGCGGTGAACACTCTCTTTAAATAGGGCTGGACTCGACTAGGTAAAACTCAGTCGACTACCAATCATATGATTTTGTGATCAATTATCCATTTAACAGTGAGAATGCAAAGTAGCAGCTTACCCTTGCTGTGGCGTCTCTGCTGCACGTCACCAGCACATCAATAGTTGGATGAAGGTCGATATCATAGACAGCACTAAGGTGGCCGTGGTAGTGCCTGATGACCTTGTTGTACTCCAGATCCCAACACTTGACCTGCTTGTCTTCTCCACAGGAGAACAGGTAGGGGCTGCGGTTGCTGACCGCCACGCCGCGCACCGTGCTGATGTGTCCCGTCAGGGAGAGCTTCAGTTTCCCACTGGCCAGGTCCCAGATCTGTCAAGAACAAACAGCATTTAAGTAAATATAAGGGTATTATGTTTAAGAAGATACTGAAAAAAGCGCTTTTGATATTGCGTGCGGTTCCAATGGAAAACCGATGGTATCTGGCTGTAAACAACAAAGAATATAATATGGTCGCAATTAACCATTCAGGGTCACTAAGATAGATTTATAGAGATTTGATTAAAGGTTCACAGACATCCTATTTTCATTTAGCCACATTACTCTTGAGTTATCAGCATGATTAGGATATCTCAGTTACCAACCTGTGACCCAACTGAGATAACTTCATGACAACTGAGCCAATATCAATTTGCTGATAAAGACCATAACATGTGGTTGAAGGCTCTGGAGACGCTTCTATGTTAAATTGCTGTAACCAAGGTCACAGAGCATCGTTCATGTTATAATTTAATGTATTGTTAGTTATTATACATCAAAAGCATGTTGGAGGAGCTCAGGTCAGAAGAATTCCATTGCCATTTCTACACTGTAGCTTTGAGCATATGACAATAAAACCTTTGAATCTTTGAAAAAAAAAAAAAACTTCTTGTTAAACCATATTTATGAAAAATGTTCACATGCTAATTAATAAAAGACAATAAGTGAAATGGAAAATGAAAGTAATTTTCAACTTTACTCACCTTTATGGTTCTATCAGCAGAGCCTGTGACAAACCACTCATTCCCCGGCTCCACGGCGATGGATCTCACCCAGCCGAGGTGACCACTGATGACCTACCAGATCAAACATACGACATTTAAAAATCACACAGAAGAAACATCCCAGATGCCCCGCTTTGGCATTACATATACAAATAAAGAGGGAAATTAAAGCTTAGATTATTTGTATGTACCCGAAACAGTTTCCATGGGGGATGCCACTGTGGTTTGGGCATGGTGGGCGCCTTCCTCGCCATCGCATTTCTGGTGCCACCTCCGTCCAAGAGAGACTGAAATAAATACATGAATTCATTATCAGATCAGCTTTTTTCTCTGTGATTTTAGAGCACGGGTAAACAATCAAGATATCTGATCAAGAGGAAACAGTGTGACCTACCACAGAAGAAGACTGAGGGTGAGATCTCTCTCCTCCTCCTGTGTGTCGATGGATGTCACCAACACTGGAAGCGGTGCGGCTGATGTCCTGCCTGGAAATTCAATAACGACACAAAAATATTGTTAATTTATATCAATAAGTTGTTTAAAAATCCTGAAAAAGTTCTCCACGTGTTCAGGATCTTGAGTGTTTATGCAAAATGCTACCAATCCAGATTATTCACAGTATAGGATAAATAAAATAAAAGGTGTACCTGGCTTGTGAAGGTGGCAAAACGAGCGCCAAGGAGTTGATTCCTCCCTCACTTGGATTCCTGTGGATCTTTGTGTCAGCAGTCAAGGCCACTCCTATTGAACAATAAAACACTTGTATTAGATACACAAATATTGCTGATGATGTTCATGGTAAGGATGTATTACCATTACAGCTTGGTTAAATTAAAACCATCGTATTTACCAGGTCCAGAGGGATAGGCATGTGTCCCGGTGATCAGGTATTCTGGATCATCCCCTGAAACAAATTAGGGGATTTTAAATACTGGGAATTCAGGGGTCAAGAAAATAAATGTATGCATGGATTTCTCCATAATCCACTGAGGGTAATATACAGTGCTTGCTTCGTCCTCACCTGGCTGTGTGTAGCTCTGGTTGCCCAGCATACTGCCAGCAAGAAGGGACACTCTGTCTTTGCCCTCCTTCAGGACAGGCATGTGCAAAACTGCATTGTAATCTGCTTTCAGTTTCACAGACATCTTCATCTTCTGGCTGCAAACACAGTAGACAGGGATGCATCATTTAGTCCTTCAAAAGCATTCACTTGCTAACTATACTTGGCAAATAAGCATAATTTTGTTCTGATGTTTACATACATAAACATACATACAACAAACAATATGCAGTTCGTTGCTTTGAACAATTTATTTATCTCCCCAGGAGAGAGCAATATATATCACATCTCCTCTCATGGTATGGTATTCAACTTAATATTATAATGATATATATATATAAAACAAATCAAGTGATTGCTGTTGGTTAATCCAGTGAATGAAATACAGGAGAACCCATCATCACACAGAAAAATACTTATTATGATACAGCCGTCTCACTATATATTCATACTGACCCCCGACACTATATTCTACACGCAATTAATTATAATAGCGATCAAATATATTAATATTGGAGAAATATCCTTATTTATAACAAACAAAACATCTGGGCTGAATTTAGTACATATATCCTATATAGCATTTTTTTTTTTAAAAGGGAGAATGGAAACATTTCTCTGCCTTGAAAATATACATTATAAAAGTACTAGCCTAAAGATTTATATATCATTTATTATAATCATTAAAGCAGAAATAAGTGCAATTTATCTCATCATTTTCTCTGTAATCATGTCTAATTTAACATTACAGGTCACTTTTAATCAGGTTTGTACCATTTAGATAAAGCCAAACGTCTTCAGTATCAAGCAAAACCTTGAGTTTAAGAAGTGGAGTTTTAAAGGAGTCATAAATGCTCAAATGTAATTGTACAAACAAAGAAAATACAAACCTTTCTTCATCCTGTGCGATGGATTTCGCATGGTCGGACACAAACATATCATGAGTCCTTTTGAGAGATCTGAAGACCAGCGTGTGGACTGAGTGCTTCTGGACATCCTGTATAATACAATAGTTATATTTAATACAATAATATTCAACCAATACAAACAAGCCACATTTATAAATCACTCCAACCCTGAATATAG